GCTTTTATAGACTTGTTATTTTTTTGGATCAAATTCTCTCTTAAATACTTTGTAAAAAAGAAATACAGAACGAAAACAAGACAATTGTTTTGTTATTCTAATAGGTCACAAAAACGTGCCACGGAAATTGTTTTCTAAAGGGTCTCTTAAATGTCACATCCGGTTTTCAGTGATTTCACGCGAATATATAGTATGGATTTCTATGAAGATAACAAGGTTTGTGATCACAAAGACCCGAGTAAGTTTCTAAAGAACGAGAAACAAAAGCGATTATGCAATGTTAGCGTTCAACTTTGCACCCCTGATGTGTTCTGTCTTTTGTTTTGAAAACAGATAAAAAAATCTAATAATCGCGTTTTAAAATGTTCCGACCTCCAAGGGAGCGCGGTCACAGTTTGCCTGTTTCCAGCAGTGTTTATTACAAGTTGTTAGTTCACGAAGCTTGACAAGCTGTATTTGAATCTCACTGAAACGCCGTCGACGAGCTGTCGTTCGCTATTTCCAGTTCAGCGGTTCTTTTAAATTTGACACTGTTGTGACGGACATCGTGCAACGCAAATGTCGAATGACTGCCGGCGCGACTCTTTCGCCTCCCTTGTATTTCGAATTTGCATCTGATGATCTCTTTGAAAGATCGTCGGAACTGTCCGCTGTAGAAGCAGTACAAGATCGGATTGGCTGCAGAATTTCCAAAGATAATAATTTGCGTGAGCTTCCACAGTTCATTGCCTTCGTAGACATAGAAATAGCGCAAAGCGCGCACCATGATGAACGGAGACCAACAGCAGAAGAAAAATAGAGTTACTACAGCCAACATCTTTGTCACCTTGTGTTGCTTGGACTCAACAGATCCCACGCCTTCACTGTTCCTTATGTGCGCTTGCAGTACGCGCAAGATTTTCGTGTGCGCCCACACCATGAAAATTAAAGGGCAAATAAATATGAGAACGGCTTGAAGGATGTAGTACGTTTGTCTCCCGCTGTCTCCCCAGTTCGTATTCAAGCAGAGCTGCTTCCCTTTCTCTTCTTTAGTAGCGTATCCGTAGAGCAATGGAACGCACAGTGCGATGGACACGATCCATAGTACTTTTATGACAACAGTACGTTGCTCAACGCCCCGATTTCTCGCTAGCGTGGTTGAAGTGACGGAGCGAGATCTTTCGTAACTGATCGCAACTAAGGTCAATATTGATGCGGAGTACGATGTTTCGATTAGGAAGCCTTGAATTTTACACAAGGCGTTGCCCCCAGGCCAGGAACCGAGAAAGAAGTAGATTATGTCGAAAATCGAAAGAATTGCGAAGAGCAAATCAGCGGTGGCGAGGCTGGCGATGTAGACGAGAAGAATAGATCGCGATGAATGGTATTTCTTGTAGCATGTTAGAAGTGCCATGATGTTGCCGAAGAATGCAACCGTGAAGAAAATGACATACAAGATCATATAGCCAATGATCAACGCCAGTGGAAACCCTTCGTCCATTTCAGAAGGTTTTGCTGTGCTGTTCATCTCGGAGCTGTCATTTGTTACTAAAACCTGCTGCATTATTTTGGTTTGACTCGCTTGGTGTTCTGCTCGAATGCACCTTCAAATGTAAGCCGCTATCAAATTTCTTGGCTGTTACAGTCAGACCCTCTGAGAAGTAATAGTTTCTCGAAGTAATCAAGTGCACGGGATCTCTTTCACATAACAGTTCGCGCTCGTCTACGAGTCCTTCGTCGACTAAATTGCCCCGCTTCTAATTATTGACGCAAAAATCTACCACGGTCTATTGACCATATTGCAACGCGTTGCGATAACGACGCAACACGTTCACCCTGAATGTCGCTGATATGTCATTTTTGACAGGAAACCCGTAAGGTGATTTCTAATTTTAAAATACGTGACAAGTCTGACAAGCAACTATGGATTTATATCTCAGTAGTCCTTTCCGTGCCTGGAACCACACAAAGCCAATCTAAACAGGAGTGATAGATTAGATAGTATATAGAAAAGGCGATTGAAGTGTTTTTTTTTTTTTGAAGAGGCGTGTGCAGTTGACAGACGGATGCCCTCATCCAATTTGTTTGTACGGGTTTCCTGTATGACGTCAGAGCAATAAAGATATGTCACGCTTCGTTATTGTTGGAGATTTAGGTTCTTTCAGTACAACCAACGAAATAAATAAATGGCCAAATGAGAAAAGTCAACCATTAGGCGAGAAAGTGTTCAAAATTTATCCTATTTTGATCTTAAGCGGGTTTACTGATTTGGCCGGGATTAGGTAGTCACTCAATCTTTCCTCCCCGGGCTTTCCTCAAGGGGCCTGTCATGTAAATACGAGCTAAAGACGCTGCGCGGGCGCTACCAGGAATAGGGTAAGTAGAGTTAATTATGTTTACACAGGCTGGTCAGTTTTATTTTTGTCTAAGTCTGATTTGAAAGGTTATTAGCAGTTACCTCAAGATTTCTTTCCTAACTTAGGAATTACATCACTAATGAAGGAAAACAAAGTCATTGCTTGTATTTGATTACGAAATTTCCTTTATTATTATTATTCTTTTTGCCGCACCCAGCGGCCTCAGTTTTACGTTTTCTTCGCTTTGAAGGAAAGTTTGTTCATCGCAAAAACTGCTGTGTAACACAGACCAAGTTAATATTACTCCTAAATATACCGACAGAGGTGACTTCAAATTATCATAACAGACAGTGCCGCACAGTATATATCTACAGATGAGAACATAATTCTGTAATCGGATGTTTTGACAAACTTCCGATCTTATAAATTATTCTTCAGCCAAATTGGTCTTGGAGCAATTTTATATTCTTTTACCGACTTACAAAATGAACTGTGTCACCTTTAATCTATGATAAATGATCACACAGTGTACTGATCAACTAAAAGCGAGCGTTTCTGTTTTAAAATTTCCACTTGATACCGGTAGTAGCTAGTAGTTTAACATAAGCGTCTTTGAGTTAATATCTGTGTCACTACAAACATGACGATTGCAATATCTTTTGGTTGGTTTTGAACCACATAAGACGCTTTTCCGGGCACTATTTCCGTATGGCGGTGTCGGGACTTCTAATTCTTATTTTTTTCGTTCAGAAAACTAATTAAATTTGATCAAATATGGACTAAGATTAACATAACCTGACTTGATGAAAATATACTCGATGCATATTCGATCTGTTATATGCCAAAGAACAAAGCTTAGAAAATCAAAAATAATTTACATTTTGTGTAGAAAGTGGAAAGTAAAATAACGCCGTGTATTGTCGATAATGTACAGGCGCCTCTCCACTTCAACTATACTATAAAAAAGTAATTAACTCCATACAAGCGGCCCTAATATCCCGAGAAACGGGCTCCTTCGAGGTGTAGAAAACACATTGCACGTCAGAAAAGAACACCCCACCTCAAACCTATTGTCGTCATTGTATTCCTCGTTCTTTAGTTCTTTAGTTCTCTATTGTTTTACGTCAGCTTTGTCCTCTACACCAATTAAGTAAGAGCCGCTTTGTTGTTGAGAACAAGAGTGCAACGGAAATTCCACCAGAACACTTTCGAATGGAAAAGAGGAAGGACTAGTTTTTGTTCCGTTATGGACCTATGGACTTTGACGGGGTCATCCTGCAGGGGGTTGAGGGGGAGAGTGATGGCTAAAGACTGGTTTACACCAGCGCATAAGCATGAACTTAGAATTCTTCTTGATGATTATTCTTTAATCAATTTAAAAGCAAAGTTAGACACGGCATTCATGGAAAACAGGATTAGTTTAATATTTAAATTAGGATTTACTACTTCAATTTTTATTAATTAGTATTTAGCATGGACTGTTTATTAGTAGTTTATTAGTATTAATTTATATATATATAACTTTAAATATTAGTATTACCTGAGGATTTTTAACCGTGTATAAAGAAATGTTAAATAAATAAATAAATAAATAAATAAATGAGCCGACATACACAGACGCAGAAAGATGCTGATAATTAGCACCTATTCAGTTAGGAATTTCCTAAACAAAAGGCGCTAATTATCAACATCTTAATATGCTTATGCGCTAGTGAGAACTAGCTTGAACCTGTTCCTCGCATGCGCCTTGGACCCCATTAAGTCAATTTTGTATTTTGGCCCATGTTTCTTGGCTCTTGCTTGGTTTAGAAGACACAATTCGCACTGACGTAAAACAATAGAGAACAAAAGGACAAAAGAAGGAGGAAAATAATGATAATAATAGGTTCTTGAGGCGGTGCTCTTTTATGACGTGTGCTGTGTCTTCTACACCAAACCAGGTTTATCAGGATGCAACGGAAAAATACTGCGGGGGGCGGGGAGGGGAAACTCCCATATAAAAAAGACGGTGTAGCTCGTCGCACCCTTTAGGGGCTAAAAGCGGTGTTGGTACCTCTTGGGCTGTGTTCAGCCTCAAAAGATCCACAGCGGGAGCTTTCGCAGTACCTTTTAGAGTATTGAGCCGAAAAAAATTTGACGTGAGGTAATGTTTTGTTTTAGAATTGGTACCTCTTAAGGGTGAAAAAAAATTCAAGCACGAAATTTGATCCACGCCAACAGGATCTTGGTACCCGGCTTAGGGGTTCTTTTCAAAATCCCCTTTTGATATCGAAGTCCCCCCAGGCTTCGTTTGCATGTTGCTTTAAAAATAAGTACTCATACAGCATGCAAAGTATGACACCTCTTGTACAATCCACGCAGACTGAACTTTGTCACGTCTATATAATAACAACGATGTATTATATATTATAATAACGATATCGGACTTAGCAAACCGAATGTTTTTCATCCAGAACGTAATTAAAAGCATATACAACTCATTAAGGTTACTGGCCTATTAAGTGTGGAAAGGGCTTATTCCATCAGTGATATCAATATTGCCTCGAAAAATGCGCTCAAAGCATGAAAGACAAAGTGATTGAAGTGGTTTTCTAAAGCTACGTAGTGCTATGTTTTCAGAGATAATATGCAAGGATGTACATAGAGTCCCCCAAGAGCAGACAGTATTCTACCGCTGTATGTGGGTAGCAGACGCCACTTGGCGACTACACTTAAAGGGAGGTCGAGGGCGGGATAATTTCTGTAAAGAATTTAATATTCTCTCTTTTCCATTCGCAAATGTTTTGCTCAATGCGATGCGCCACCTTAAAAGTCGACTCCAACTTCTGCACGCTATAAAAACTACTGAAGAATCTATCGCCGTTAAAAGTTAGTTTGTACGATCGATGTTGTGATATATTGGCAACTAAACACATGCAAAACACTTCGGGTCACCGTAAGGCGTGGGGAGAAATTTAATAGTTGTATTCAAGGGGCAGATAACATCCGATACCAATGCAACCTGCAATATATGACCTTCAGTACTGGTTTTAAGATTAAGCCATTAACCTCAAAGTGCTCTATATTTTCAGGGCGTATTCAACTGCCATGTTTATATCAGGCCATTGAAAAAGCGGCGAGATCAGACTAGTCGGCGGGTCGCACAGACATCCTCCAAATGATGTGAGTAAATAATATCTCAAAATAGGACTGGATCGTTAATCCATCACACCTCTTCGTCTCCTAAACTCGTCTAAACGTTTTTAAAAGTTGCCTCAACAACCTAAAGACGGCGTTTTCATGGTCCATAAAATCGATGAAAGTTATAACCGGAAACTTTGCCAGAAGCATTTAATTCGCCAGTTATATACCTGAGTGGAGAGAGGCAAAGTGAGAGTAAAATGTAATAACCCCGGCTAGGGCTAGAACCCAGACCGCTCAATTCAGAGTCCATTGCGCGGTTATTCGATTTTGTCCATCACGAGGACCCTGCAATAATTATTGTGTTTCTAGACGTTCCCATGACCTAACTTTTGGTTATGACTGTGGTCCGTTATGTCGCTAGTGGGAACCCAGTCCTAACGTGCAATTACAATTCAGTGGTCATGGATGCTAGCTAGAAAAGGTGAAGCCCTACAGGGGCGCCCGGTAGGTCAGGCTGAAAAATTCGGGAGAAAAAAAAAATTAAGATGAATCACTGGCCTGTCATATTGTTTCGGTTCTTTGGGAAGGAATCATAGATGCATATTGATGAAAAGTGATGAAATGCTATATATTATATATTTATCGATACATCATTATCTTCCACCCCGCCTCCCCTCCTAAAAAAAATCCAACAGTTTCAAAAAGCAATAGTGATCACAACAACTCAAAGACGGCATTCTTGTATATGTTCCATAAAATGTGAGAGCCAAGTGGAGAATAGTATGAAAGCGTGTTCACCTGTCATTCCTCCTTAAGTCAAGCCTGATAGTCTTAGTAGTTTCTGGTTTTATTTTCCTTCTGCGGATAGAAAATTATAGAAATTATGTCGATGGAACTATTTTCTTGTCGCTGATGAGTAGGAACGTGGGCTCTTAACTACGAGATTGTATCACGTGATTCATCCATGCTATCCTAAGTACATAAACACGCGCAGATAAACTGAGATGCCTCGTGAAAAAGTTGTTATTCTATAAAACATTCATGTTCGGTTTAGTATCGACTGCCTCTTGCAGGGGACCGGGAAAAACAGTTAAGAAGACAGTTCCGAAGTGGCGTGACGCGCGAATAGCGCGCGCGCGCGCGCGCACGGAAACATTTTGAATTTAAGTTACGCGTACGCTAGTTGCGCGTACGAATTTAAGTTGCGTGGACGTGTATCGGCAGAGTTTTAGACAGTTTCCAGTGAGCAGTTGTTGTGCCTTTTAGAGAGTTTTGTGCCGTTTAGAGTTTACCGTTTTACTGATTTTGAAGTGTTTTGGTCGAGTACCGTTTCCGTTTACCGCTCACGAACAAACAAACAAAAACGAAACAAAGTCAGGACAAGTGCTATGTGGTTGTCGTGTCTAGATCTAGACCACAGAACTTTGTTTCGGGTTTGGAATTGTAAATTTCTAGAAAAATAACAAATGATATTTACTCTTTTCCGTTTTTCGTCCCAAATTTGCCCTATTCTCCTGAAATAAGTTAATTATTTTACGCTGCATTGATACCCACGTACTGTAATTTCCTTACAAAGCGCATTCATTTTTTACTATTTTTTTTGGTGAACTCGTGGATTTGTTTATTTTAGTCTGGGAAGGTAAGGGAAATCGCTAGATTATTTATAACCGAATATCTTTGTTCGTTTTGTTTACGGAAAAGAACTGCAAATTCGGCACGTCTCGAGAAAACCTGCGATAACACTATGTACAAAACCCACGGCTAATGAACTACCATGATAAACTAAATCAGAAATCTTGGATTACTAGTAATTTTATCTTAAAGGGACACAGTCAGCTGGCACACATGGGCATAAGATACCATTTCATAACTAATTTGCATATCGCAGAGACTCGGTCCATACAGTTTTTAACCAAATATGATGAACTGAAAATAATATCATAGGATGAGCAAAAGCACACTCAAAAACAGGTTTTTCAGTAAGCGATTGAAAATCAAACAAAACACTGCGAAGATTGAAGCGGATTTTTAGATTTACTTTGATTTCCGGTTGAGGTGAACTTTTTCCAAAGTTGAGGAAACTTTTGTCCAGGTCAGTGCCGTCCCAAAGCTGACTGTGTCCCTTTAAAACCTTAGCTATGGAGGTGATAACAAGGAGAGCCAAATAGCTAAATTTTGACTGTCGTAAGCACGTTAGTGGAAGGCGTTAAGCATTCATTATATAGTTCGCCTGTACAAACTGTGTGATAAAGAACTATTGCAAATAAAGACAAGCACCTGTTTTTTTTCTTTACTTTAATGGACATTATGTTACTTTGACGGAATTGTTCGACAGTTTGTCCATCTTGTTTGAAAACCCTTTTCATTTCTTTGTATGCCACATTGTTGATGTTGTTAATAATTGTTACAACGCGATCACGGAGCAGATACAAAGGCAGAACGCGAACCCACTGAGATTTTTTTCTTCAGTTTCCTTAATTTGAAACCTTCGTCGCGCGCCGTTTTTCTAAATCGTATTTTTTATTTACCCAGAAAAATGACAATCTTTGCAAATCTTTGTTTAGTTCGCAAACAGCTTAAAAACTTTTACTCGACTTCCACATTAAAAGGATTTCGAAATTTGTATGCCAATGTCATTTCTAACATCTTTCACGTGAATTCTGACTGGCAGCTGTCATTTTAGAAACAGTAGGCTCATTTGCCTATCATTTGTTCGCTCTATATTAAGACAGAATATTCGAGCTTGTTTAAATTTTAAATGGCACTTGAATGGTTTCCTCAGTCAACGGAGAAGTTCAACAAAAGCTGCGCCGAAAACGTGAAACGTGATTCCGCATTTGATTACATTTCCGCACTGTTCTCTGTCATAGTTTTGTGCCAAGCTTTCGTGTGCAGGTGAATGATATATATATACCACGTCGATTTTTCGACAACAGTTAATGATGCAGTTGAATACAAATAGTACTGTAGAACCAAATTCTACTGTTGAAAATGAGACCCCGAACAGTATAAGCCTGAATTCGTTCATGGGAATATTTATTATGTGTTTTTACATCGTTGTGTACTCAACTTCGACTGTGGGAAACTTGGTCGTTCTTTGCATTTGCGCCAAAAATGGACGAAAAAACGCCGCTTTTCAGCCTACACGCACGGGATTTTTCAACCTGTACATCGCAAATCTTGCCATTGCGGACCTCTTGTTCACGCAGTTGACTATTTTTGATGCCGTTTACGCGATTCTCGGCGAGTGGACGATGGGTGCCATGTTGTGCAAGGTTCAGGGATTTCTCGTGGAGTTATGTTACTCCGCAAGTATTTTAACTCTGATAGCAATTAGCCGAGAAAGACTTAAGTCGATGTCCGATTTACAAATGAAATCGCGTCTTCAAAGGATCAAGGAGAGGAAATCGCGCTCTGCAATTGTATGGATTGTTGCTATAGTGCTCTGTTCGCCTCTTCTGTACGCGTACAACTTGAATAGAGAAACTTCAGGCACCGTCCGCTGTTACAATGACGCTTGGTCGCACATTGGAAGACGAATTTACTACAGCATAACCGCTGTAATCCTATTCATTGTTCCACTGGTCATCATGATTTGGACACAACTTAAGATCAAACGCGTTTTCAAGTCTCAGGTCGCGCCAACCCAGCAAATTGCGATCTCGATGCGGGCGCGTCAAAAGAAAGCCAGTCGAATGCTTTTTGTCGTCACCATCGTCTTCTTTGCGTTTTGGTCCCCGTTTATTTTCATACGAACTCTTCGTTATTTTAGTTGGTATGAGGGGTTTATTATCTGGAAACTCAGCCAGCTATCAACGATTGCTTCCGCGGGAGCAAACCCGTTTATTTACAGCTTTTACAGCACGCACTTCAGGGTATACATCAAGAGATTTGTTACGTGCAAATGTGGCCTGATGGCGGCGGGTGAGAATGGGGACATTTCAACTGTGAATACTGTGTATTGAGAGCTGTATTTATGGTTTTAAGATTTTTCTACAATTTCCTATTGCTATTTAAAAGGAGGCTTAAAATCTCATTAACAGCTGACAGGTGTCTTACAAATGGCGGTGATTTTTTTTTCCTGTGCCATCTTGCTTGTATCTAGGTATCTACGGGCTCTTTCTGCGATTTTGCCATAAATTTCCATAATTATGATATATGGTAAGATAAGAGGCTTGTAAAACTTACTATAACGAACTGATAGGCAGATTAGACGCCCTCGGTGATCTTTGCGTTAACCTGACGCAGCGGTTTATTCAAGCACTATAAGCAAGCCGAGTTTTAATTCATTATTTTTTTTTGTAGTCATTTATCTTGGTATCATACCGGTAGCTTATTAAACCTCTGCTTGAGAAGCCTATTTATCACAGCTCTACCTGGGAGGTCACTGTGTTTGTTTAGGACGCAGTGTGTTCGATAGTGAAAATACAGTATGCAAATTTATACTTCTGTTTAAATTCTTGTTCGTGTAGTACAGATTTCTAATCAGATGGTACTTTTTTTTATCTAGTATGTGCTTTTTCGTGTTATCTACAAGTTTTTTTTTCCGAACTTTACGTCGTTAAGTAATTTCAGGAAAATGCGGTTGTGTGTTTGTATACATGCTTTCGGCATAACTGAAAATAAAAAAAGCCATTTCCAATGTTATGACACTGTGAAACGGGGCACAAGACAACAATTGGTAGATTCCATGAAATAAAATCAAGCTATTTAAATATCTCACTTTGATTTCGTCCTTTTTGTCATGCATTTAGTACTTATTTACCCCTTATTTTGCGGCAATATTTTACATACAACACCGCGCTTCCTGCTACCGGCTCAGCGGAAAGGTGATCAGATACAAAGAAGAGTAAGATCACTATAATAAGGGCGTAAATTTAAATTAGAACTAAACCAAAACTACCAGCTGATTTCGGCGGCATGTAACTTAAAGTAAAACAAATTACAAAATGTACCCCGTTCGATGATATCATTTTAAGCGCGTTTTTCTCTCTAAACTGATCGCGAAACTCCACTACGGGTTTTCGATAAGGTGATCTTCCAGTAGATCAGTTAAGTATTCATTAAAACTCTTTTCCATTGATAGTTAGGTGTTGTTATTATTAAACTATCCACTTGCCAAATGGTCTTAGCATGGTGTTTTGCCGCTCACTCCTGGGGGGCTGCGAGCTCGCCTGCAGACGATTTTAACCCTTTGAATACCAACTACGCATATATGCGTAATTAATGGTCGTGCTCTTTGTACCACTTGTGACGTCATCAATTTAAATGCCATCAGATATTCTTGATAAGCTGATAGTAGTGCTAGGCTAGCCCTTTCCGCACAATGGTCAGGTTTAGATATCGACGACATTCCGACGTCGCAAATCGA